TCGCTCGCTCTGTGTGTGTTTGTGCAAGCCCCAGTAATCCTTGCAATTCCAACTGATCAGTGGCCTCCCTCCCTACTGCAACCAATGCTCACGCATTCAAGAGAGATGTATGCTGCCATCCCTGATTTGTCCTCTGTTCATCATCTCCTCTAGCCTTGCCCCTAAAAGAGCCTATGTGCCTGCCAAATGCAGGGACTTCCAAATCACACTACCGAAGGGTTTTAACTTTTAAGTACGTTGTGAGTAAACCACTCTGGTTGGTAGTGTGAACTCCTCATTCAACTTGTTAGACTTCAGCTGAAGTGGGTGCCAAATAGACGATGTCACCATCGCATCGCTCGTGCCCATTCACTCGCCATCTTTCTATGCAGCATTCCTTCCACATGTGTCATGATATCCATCATCATTCATCCGCAAAATCTACTGCCCATTGCCCTGTGAACTGACACTCCTTTCACCTAACATCCCAAGAAGGGTTTTCTACCTCTCCTCCCTGTTCTAGCACCAGAGACTGGTCGGAGGATTGAGAGCTTACCTCCACGGCGGCATCCACCCTCTTTCGATGTGGTCCCCGTATGCCATCCGTGTTTGAACTGCAATGGGCAGCTGGTCCCTCCAGCTACAGATGCACAAAATTAGAAAAGAAACTTTACGAAGGTGTGTTTCCACGATGTTCTATCTCCCTTGTCTCCTCCTGACAAAGAATTTTTATGTACAGTCACAGCATCATGACTTCCGCGAAGATGGAGTTAGGCACGTCATCATCTGATGTCCTACATGTCCACGAACTGAAGAACCCCTCCGCATTATGCATTGCCAGCACCCAATTCGCCGCCAAGTTAGCTCCAACAGCCAATAGCACGTCGTGCAGCAACCATCTCCATCCCCCCGCTGGGAACAAGAAATACATACCGATCCTTCAAATTTCCTGCTACCAATGCTTGCAGGCTGGCCACTCTTGCACACAATGCAAGGCATCTTTCCACCCACCCACCCTGAAATGCTGTCGTCAACATAGCGAACCGCTCTTCACAACCTTGCACACAATGCAAGGCATCGTTCCACGCACCCTGATATGCTGCCGTCAAAATATCAATCTTGCACACAATGCAAGGTATTGTACTCTTCGCAAACTTGCACACAATGCAAGGCATCTTTCCACCCACCCACTCTGACATGCTGTCGTCAACATAGCGAACCGCTCTCGGCAACCTTGCACACAATGCAAGGCATCTTTCCACCCACCCACCCTGACATGCTGCCGTCAACATAGCGAACCACTCTTCACAATCTTGCCCACAATGCAAGGTATTGTTCTACCCACCCTGAAATGTTGACGTCAACATAGCGAACCGCTCTTCTTCAGTTAGTCTGGAAGAGAATGGATTAGTGGAGTCTGGGAAGAATAGATAGGTTTCACAAAATGAAACCGTCTATGTATGTATGCATAGATGGGCCTATCACACTAGAAGGGCTCCGCTTGAACTTTCATTTCTTCAAGCACAATGTTGATGCAACAATAAGCCCTTCTAGCACACGATGAGGGAACTCCATCAGGTGGGGTCATTTACCAGCCCCCCATTTCCAACATGCATTGGGTGAATGGCCATCCATGCAAGTTGGTTGAATTGAAGACGTCAATCGGACACAAGGGTGAGTATTCACATTGGTGCTAGTAGCCTAGCACGACTCCATGCACAAGTGACTGGGAGAGGGAGATGTCACGTCAACAGGGTGGACAGTCGCTCCCTGGGAGAGACATGCCCTAACACCTCGCACTCTTGTGACAGGGAGAGGCAGATGTCACTTCAACCGGATGGGCAGTCGCTCCTTGGGAGATACATGCCCTAACACCTCGCACTCTCCCCGTGAGAACAGTGGGACAGCCATTCCTTACTCGACAAGACAGAACCCGGCGAATGGTCGACTCGCTTCATCAGACTGAAGAGAGCTCACGGACTCTGCTCCAAGAGTTCCTCATGGCACTCCGCGTGCACACACACACACACACACACACACACACACACACACACACACACACACACACACACACACACACACACACACACACACACGAGAGCAGCCGTGCATTTCAATCAACTTTCGATTGATGCTTCCTGCGCCAGAACGTGCTATACACAGTTCTTCCTCAGCCGTCGACTCTATACACTGGGCGACAGCAACACAAAAGACTGGATGATGCCCGACCAGCTAGGCATTACAACGCCCTTTCCTGCTCACCTCCGGCCCCCCTCCCTGGGCTTCGCGAAAATCGTAAAAGCCCACCACATACCGCACAGACTGAAGCGCCATGCGAATCACTGGACAGGTTTGTAGTACTGGTCCCTCCAGTGCACCCTACACAAGGGACACTAAGGACAGGACCCCGCTGCACCGACTTCCCTCCAGAGGCTACTACTCATCTAGGGATGTAGGCAGCCTGCAATTGAAGTCTCTTGCAAAATCCTTCGACGCGTTTTCGTGCATCTGCTGCCCCTCTGAAGCGCACCGTGAGCTGAGCGTTTTCCTTTTGGAGATGGTGAACTTGCTGCAGCAAAGCCTCTCTTTCTTCTTTGAGCTTCAGAAGAGCCTTCCGCAATTGATTGGGGGCCACGAAAGAAGATGTCAATGAGCAGTCGGATACATCTTCAGTGAAGCCAGCGCTAAGACGCTCCCCACTACTCCTTCGCTCTGTCTCCTCCTCCTGTTCATCTTCCTCAGAAAATGACAGGGACGATGTCGACGACGATGATAATGACATAAACGCTCTGTGATGCTTCATCGACGCCCCCTCAGTTGTTGACATGGATCTACCAAAGGGTTTCACTGGACTGCTTGAGGTCGGTGGGGGTAAGGAACGAAATGATGGTGCCGCCAGACCGTCTGAAGATACAACGACACACGCCCAGTGCGTTCCTTTCCTATTTGCTGCAAATGACGGCGGTTGGCTATTTGTGATGAGATTTTCACTTGGTCGCGGCTCCAACACATTCTCCGACCGCTCTGGGAGAGGTAGCGAATGCCCTCGCCGCGATCGGCTGCCAGTCAGACGGATGTTCTTCCTGTCATCAAACCCGCTGTTCTTCATCTCTTTCTTGAGAATTGCCAATTGATCAACAAGCCTGCAAAGTGCAAAACTCATGCGAAGTAACATGAGCGGTCCAAACGGAAGAACAAACATTCACATCGTCAACAATTTAAAAAAAAAAAAGAAAAAAAAAAGGGCGATGGCCTTGAGATATTATCATTGAGCTGACCGGCCCCAGGCAATTCATTTGTAGTTGGTTTTATTCATCAAGTTCCATCATCTGGATTCGAACACAGGTCTGTATTTCATCAGTTCATGGGTGTACCCACTGAGCTAGGCTCTCGGGTAGGATCGTCAACAATTTCATTTTATTTTATTTTTATTTTTTTCAATTTTCAACCAACCACTCCTTGCATGCAGTCCAAAATCTAACAGTAGAATGAAAGTATCACTTCTACAGAAAACATAACAATACACCTTTTCACACAAACACAAATCACCGACGTTTCTAATCAGTACCCTCTTCTGACTTACAAAACAGATCAATCAGATTCATTGCCAATCAGATAAATATGTTTCATGTCCATGTGTGACTAGATGAAAAGGGAAGGAAAAAGTTTGAAAATTTGACGAAAAACGAAAAAAAAAGAAAAGACCGAAATGGCATTGCAGAGATTCAAATACATTACCGTTCACCGACTTTCACAATACGCGTGCAACACACTATATTGAATATAGTCATAAATTCTAATAATTCCTTGTTTATTTATAAAAAAAAAAAACTTTAAGAAAGTCATATACTCATAATTCCTTGATTTGTTTTTGTTTTTTTTTGTTTTTTTTTTTAAGGGCTTATTCTTGTAGGCCCAACCAATTCAATCATCTGCCATGTCTGGACAGGACGGCCTTTCATTATTCTCTTTGCATAGTACCCAGCTTTTTCCCCTGTGCGAAATTGTAGGCGTGCACAATCCTGCAGGCCCTGGATTCAGAGCACCAAATTATGCGCATGCCGACCAAGTACACCGTTGTGGCCCAATGCCTGCTGGGTATGAGCATAATTTCAGTCGTCCGGTAGCAGGGTATATGAACAATTTGGCCCCTCCTCCTCAGGTCCAGGGTATGCCCACAATTTTGCCTGTTTATCTCCATAATTTTGTGCATTGCGGTAGTTGGTTATAACTGCAATTTTGCGGTACCAACCTTGGTTCACCTCGGTCCTGGGCATGCAAACAATTTCCACCAACCGTTTTCTGGGTATAGACGCAAGTTGGCGCTGGGACTGGGTATAACGGGTAGTCCCATCGAGTTGGCGCTGGGACTGGGTATAGCCGGTAGTCCCATCTTTAAGTATGGTACAGAAGCAATTTTCCCAAAGAAAGAAAGAAAGAAAGAAAGAAAGAAAGAAAGAAAATTTGTTCCTACGATGACATAAAACTTGATAAAAGCCATGGAATCCAGTAGCTAAAAAGAATGTGTAGTCCTGCTCAACACAGCATTATTCTGCAACAACCAGAAAGATGAGAGCCAGAATGGATTGCTTGGTACATGCTCATTACATTCTAGCCGTGATGAACCTGGGCTTCTTTTCCTTTCTTTTTCTTCTGGGCAATGCATCATGTCCCCTATGGTTCACAACAAGGAACCAAGCTTCTGTTTACTCTATGTACGCTGCACAAATCATCAGTGTAAGTTCATGCCATGAAACAAGCACGACAACAGTATACACTATATGCTATCTACACATCAAATACGCAAATGTGTACTCAGTGGATGAACCCCAGATATAGGTCGACGTTGCACAAGTGTCAAACAAAGGACCTCCACCTTGCCAGCACTGCTGTATGTTCAGCTTGTTGCCACTTACGGACCCCAGCAGCAGCACCATGTTCAGCACTATGGCATTTGCTAGCTCTTCCATTACGGCAGGTCTAACAGCAGCACCACCATGTTCAGCATTATGAAAGATTTTTAACAGCAGGCCAGAAGTGTGTGAGGAACGAGCCCTCAAGTAGGGGCCTTGCCATGATGTACATGTTCTGGGCTAAGGCCCCAGCAAGCCTCGTGCACGCCCTAAGTGAAGGCGGGCCAGCAAATCAACAAGAGCCCTCTGTGCCAACATTTCACGAAGTGGGGTCCATACAGTTGCAGCACGCCAATTGGTTGGAGTGCACCGAGTCTCGGATTTCAGCAAATGCTAAAAGCCCAGGGCCTCTGAGTTAGTTAGGCCCTGGGCACTCGAACGTGAGGCCGACAATGCATGCTGGGTATAGAGGCCGAAAATGCCAAAGGGAAATTGGCCCACTATCTGAATCTGGCCGCAGGCCTTGATGAAGGAGGCGCAACTGCATTGCCCCGGGGCCCAACTGTATCGGGCTGGGTTCAGCCTCTGGGCCCCGGTCACAGCCTGAAGGGAGGCCGCCCACACGCTGCACTGGCATATAGGCAAGCAGGGCCAGTGGGCAGGGATCTTGGCCATTGCGAGCAAGGCCGGCACGCTGCTGCGTTGCATGCATGCTGCGCTGCGCTAAGGCTGAGGGACGCAGGCTAGCGCTAGGCGGTAGGGCGCTGCCTGCATACAGGGCGCTTGGCGGCCATAGCCGGGCTGCAGAGGGCGCAGAGGGGTGAAGGGCGAAGGTGGTTCTTCGGAGGTGAAGGGCGCTGTGTGGGTAACAGGGAAGAGTGTGGGTGAAGAGGACACGT